CGCTTAGGATGAGATGTGACAGTTTCATTTTTCTAAAAATACAAACTATTAACTTCACTACAGCTAATGAGCTGCAATTTATTATGTTGATAGTTGCTTCTGTCATGCATGAAAAAGGCAGACGTGAAGCAACTGCATAAATAAGCCCAATAGTTATGACTTACTAAATAATAATGTAGTAAGCGAGAACATTTCACCGTGTGAGTGCAAAAATATCTCTTGTGTATGTGAGTGCCCAGCTGTGCTCATAAATACTGTTGCAAGTTAGAACAGGATGTAAAATTATAACTTTACTCAGTCTGCCGTTTTATGTCACATAAAGAAAATAAACCCTTAGACCCTTATCCTGCGCTCACATGCTGCACGCCCAAATATGTCCGTGTCATTTCCAGTTACTATGACATTTACTCACAGTTTTTTTTCCCCCATATCAATAATGTAGGATTATAATTGCTCTCCTTTGAAGTGGCTGTTTAAATAATCCAAGGAGGATTGCTCTCGGCATCCCATTTTGAGCTCAGCGAGGAAAATGAGCCGCTGCAACAAAAAAAAAAAGAAGACAACCGAGTGCTGAGTGTGGAGGTTGAGGCTGACGTTCCAGCTTCTGGAGGTAGTTTGTTTTCACCGGGCACAGGGAGGTGGAGCATCGGCGAAAAGAAATACACATACTTTAATGATTTTTAAATCATCCTTTTATCATTTTTGAACGACAACGGCAAGGTGAAGAGGTTGGCGGTTCGGACTTGTAGTGTAATGTAAGAAGAGAAATCCTTGTGTGTTGATTGTAACTGACAGCTCTGACAACAAGACCTCATGTGTGTGGTTCTAGGCCGCCATTTTCTTTCTGCAATCAGAACACCTTGTACTGCGGCTGCACTTTAAATGTCAACATTTGCTTGAGTCATTTATGTTTAGCCATCCAAACAAAATAGACACCGTCAAACTATGGATACGAAATGCTAGTGTGATTTCTGGCTATATTTTAATACTCACTATATTTGGGATACATCATAATTCATAAGCATGCTTACGTCATCGTTTGCAACCATATCCTTAATTTAAAAACAATTTAATTTTTAAACAAGTATGTTGTTATTGACTTATTGATATTGTCATCCCTAAAGCAGTATTAGTATATTTTTGTGTTTCCCGCCTGTGTGTGTGTGAGTTCAGCCACAGTACCAGTCTAGCAGCGGATGGATGAACACATGGGACGGTGATTAAAATGTATGAACAAGCACCACGTTGGGGAATAAAAAAAAGATCAAAGTGGTGGCTGGCGACTGAATAAATGATCAACGTGCTTGTTTTTTTTGTTTTTTGCACAGACATACTCCTAATGAGCATGTGTGGAACAGCGGTATTAAATAATCATCTTCGGTGCGAGTCAGTTTGTGCCGCCGCGGCCCCGACTGCGACAGCAGAAGCAGGAGAGCGTGTCATAGAATTAGACAGAAACTCACACACGGAGCCGTCGTTTAGCCTTACAAGCTGAGAGATGAGAAGCTCTGAACAGACAGCAGTATCGCACCGCAGAGAGGAAGCTGCTTTCTGCCCCAGTTCTTCTGCTTCCCAGCCACACCGATTCTGATCACAGACAAAGCATCCAACGATGGATGAGCTTGCAGGCTCAGAGCTGGAATCGGAGTGAATAAAAGTGCTTCATGCCACACTGCATTTGACCATTATGTAAATATGTAAATAAACCTCAACACAGTGCTGGTTGTACAGCTCTGGGATTGGGATCCTCTAATTGGGGGCAAGACAGACATGTCGCGGGTACGTGAAGCATTTTTACATGGCCAAAACAAGGATAATGGCATTATTCTAAATCCCACGTTTGTTATCTTTTTTGGCAGATTCATCTCAGATGCACTTTGAACTTTGTTGTTTATTGCACGGCTGGTATTCATGTACTTACCAAACAAGGCCTCACACAATTCATGAGTCATTAAACATTACGTTTGCATGAGTTAAGGTTGCTAAATGTGGAAAAATTAAAATTTTAGAAACACTTTGCTATTCCTGATCCCTATCTGGTGGGGGATGAAGACCCTGAGGGGACAGACTGTGTGTAAGTCACATGATCCAGTCTTTCGGCATTCACACAGACTGACACACACAGACCAAAGCGGATCGCAAACAAAGGCTTGCAATGTATTATTTCTGCTGAAGCATGAGCGTGAGGAATTCTCCATTAATCAGTTTCATCTTATTTTACGGAGCTGTAATACCAAGCGCTGGGTGTGATGGGTTTGTGGAGTTGTTTCTCAGAATCCCCCCCACCGGGAGCCCGTGTCTGTTCTCACGTATCAGAGCTTCTGCAGAGGCATGTGAGTGTGGGTTTGACTAACACTGTATTTACAGTGGAGCATGTACATACTGTGTGTCTGCGCACTACAGAAACTCACCATGTAGTGCTTCTAATCCGAAACATTTCAAGGTTTTATTTATAGGAAAAGGAGTCTGGAACACCGTGTTTTTGGTCAGATGCCTTTAATGCGGTCGGTGGTTAACATGAGCTTAAGGGATTTAAACATTTTGATCCATGATATAAAATACATCTGTAAATACCTCTCTTGTACATTTTGAAGCTTCTGAGTGTTGCTAAGCTAACAAGTGAAACCAGATGTGTGAAACCAAATGTGAAGGCAATCTGTGTAACATTTAGCCACCAACGTCCACCACCAGCAAGATCTCCAAAGTTATTAGAGTTCATCTTCTGTTGACCATTTGTGCCGAATCTCATTACAATTCACCTCACAGTTGTTCAGAAATTCAAATCTGCACCGAAGTGCTTTAGAACAAATATTGCCATCTATTGAACCACACTGCCAACACTTGCTAAAAATACACATTCTAAGCAAAAATATGAGACACGACTGGATGAGCAGGACCTCGTATCAGTGATTATGAAATAAACCGTCTTCTCTTGGACGTCACAGGTTCCCGGGGGCAAGAACCGCATTTGGAATGGACTCTTGAGCACACAGAGATCTACTCAAACACACACACACACACACACACACACACACACACACAGCTGCAACAGCACACAAACATATTGTGTCAGAAGACAATGTGTTTTTGTTGTGTGATGTTGGAAGAATAAGTGATGGTCTACCAGCAAACATGAAGTTAGAAAATGTCTAACTGGAATCTTGTGCAGTTCAGTGAAAAAAGATCTCCAGCCTCCCCCGTCTAATGAAGTGGACTCCGGAAGGAACACACTGGGGAAACGGAGAGCTTGCAGCAGATTTGCACGTTTCCATTCAGCTGGAAATCATATTAGTGTTGTGGGCTGCCGAAGCCTGAAGTTGCAATGAACCATGGAGGCGATTTAAAGGAGAAGGGGATTGAGAGAAGAAGGGCTGAGGGTGAGTTGGGAGGGCGGAGGCTGAATGTGGCAGAGAGGGAAGACATGAAGAAGGGAGATGATTGGCCAGAGTGGCATTAAAAGAAGCAACGTAGCAGAGCAACGTGGAGGGCGAGATGAGCCGGAGGAGAGTAAAGGTGGGGGCTATGTACTTGGCATTGGTGCGGGATATAAATCGGAAAGGTTTTTACGCAGAGGCGGGGAGGTCAGCGGAAGTTCAGCAGTGACAGGCATCCCGAAAATCCTCTTCCTCTGGCAGGAGGGCGGCCGCACATCAAAGACTTAAGGTGTTGCTGTGGAGGCTGCTGTTTAAGATAACAGTTTAAAGCTGCACCTTCTTTAAAATATATGCAAACTAGCTGTTTCCTAATCACATGACAGATGTGATTATACATGTGATGCTGGGGATGCAGGGGCCAATGTTCTTGTATACACAACCATTTAAATTATTCTTGTTTTAATAAAAAAAGAAAAGAAATCCTGAAATAACTTACACTTCATTTCAATCTTATTTTCGGCTATATTTCCACATTATGGACCACACATCTGAATTAAAAAGAAGATTAATTGAATATGCTGCAGATTTGGTAGAAAATCAGGTTGGTCAGAGGGATCGAAGACAAGATGTAACTTGTTCAAATGAAATCGTTCATGAAAACATCTGTGTAAATGTGCCGTGAATGGCCGGTCCAACGCACCTGCTCAGAAAACTCTGAATGGATTAACATCACTGCTGCAGCTGCTCATTCTGACTGACGGGGACTTTTGCACTTGAAGATCTTGGGGAAACCAAATCCAACAATTTTTTCGAGCAAATTAGGTAATTCCTCCTCTCACACAGCTCCTCTTTCATGGGAGAATCAGGCAGGTGGCAGCCTTTTGTGGTTGGAAGAGAAGACCCCGTATTGTGTTTCTGGTCTTGTGAGAGTGGACAGGAGGCAGTGGGCGCAAATCTCTCAACCTGAGAGTTCCAAGAAGAGTTGAGCCAAGCTGTAACCAGCCGACTCCCATGATTTCTCTTGTTGAACAGTAAATTAGTTTAACCAAAGAATGATTGTGGAGTTATTTTTCATGCCATGTGCAACCCTTTCTTTTTATGGGCAGCACATCTGTCAGAAATCACCTGAGCTGAATGTGTTTGCTATTCAGTTCTTCGGCTCAAGCCTTTTGAGCAGCGTTTCAGTGCTAGATTCCCCAACATGCCGCCCATATAAGTTACTCTTATAGTATGCATTCTGCGCTTCCACAACCAACTAAGAACTGGTTTTAATTCAAATTCAATTTTTTATGATGGTATAGGCTTAATGTGTGATGCTATTCATATGTGATGAATATATCCGTTGATACAAAGTCAAACGTTATGAGCTGTTAAGTTCCATTAATTAAGTTCCATTAATAACATAAAGTATTTTATATATTAAAAAAAAAATACATGTATTGTATTTCTTATTTTCTGGCACCGATATTTTGTATCTTATTTTAATACATTTGTATTTCATATCAAAATACAAATCTCTGATAAACATCCGCTGGAGATATTGCTTCATCGCTCGTCGCAGCCCCCCCTTGCGCCCCCCCTTCCCCTTCCCCTCCCGGGTCCTAAACCTTCTGCGGATCAGCAGTCGAGCCCCTTCTGGTCTGGAGAGCAAAGGACTGAGCCCGCCCCGCTGAGCATCAGCCCGGGCTGCGCCGGTGGGGATAACCGAACGCGCTCAGCCCGGACAGCAGCCGTCCGATCGGCAGCGGATCCGCTGAGCCGCTGCGGGGAACCGGAGCGGCGACCGCAGGAGGAACTACGGATAAAGACCACAACGTTTGACTCGCTGCTCGCTGTCTTTCAGAAGAAAAGGAAAAAGTTGTGACACCCGCGGAGAGAAGAACAGCCGACGGGAGACTCGCGCAACGCATTTGCCGTCGGAGAAAACGTTGCTTGAGGAGAACATCCTGTGAGTAGATGCAAAAGTGATCCAGCGGGACACTTTTGTTTTTCTATTTCTTCAACAGGAAGGTTAAGTCATGGTTTAAAGCGGTCCCACCCGCTCCTTAAGGAAACTAAACACGATGTAAAATCACCTTTATCTTGCTGTTGGCACATATTTGGCGAAATGACCCCAAATATAATCGTTGTTTATGGCCATTTAAGTCAAAATGGAGGTTGATAATACTAAGTTATGTTTGTGCTGCGTTGGACTTAATCTACATTATTAATTGGTTGTGGAAGTTTGACTTACAGTACTTCTCTTTAATGCGCAGTTGCTGCGGTTGAAAGCAGTGACTTTTGCTATGAATTATTGTTTGTGGTGAGAGAGAGAGAGAGAGAGAGAGAGAGAGAGAGAGAGAGAGAGAGAGAGAGAGAGAGAGAGAGAGGGGGAGAGAAACTAGAGAAGAAGCATTGCTCTGTTATCTCCATCCAGCTGTTTCAGTGAATGGGGTTGGCTGCCCCGTGCAACTGGCACACCACGCACACACACACGCGCGCACACACACACATCCTCAAACAACTGCTTTTGCATCTCTCTGCTCTTGTTACGTTAGTTTTGCCTCTTAAAATCTGCAGTTGCTTTTGTTAAAAGACGAGAAAGAGTAAATGAGGATGACTGCAATGGGATGAAAGGGTCACACGCGAAGAGAGCGACGGACCTTCGCACCTGCACCTGTTTCATGCTCTCAAGGCCCACTTCAATATCACAGTTACTAGTTACTAGTCGAACTTGAACCGCCCGGGGTCCTTTTGGACCATGAATAATCTCCACAGGAGGAGACGTCAATGCTGAAACATTCCCTCCATCTTCTTCTCATCTTTGGTTGAACACCTTCGCTGCAGCTTGATGGATGGGTTGGACGTCATGTCCTCCCAGCTAGGAGGCGTAAACTGAATGCAAACACCAAGACAACCGCCGCACGGACGCAAAAAAAACGCCGCAAATGTGGATTGTTCTATCTGCACGCACACACACACCCTCCGTCCTCTGTCCTCCATGCAGGTTGACTTAGCGTTCCGGCATCATCAAGCCACCTCACCGGGAGGCCCCTTTATCATCCTGCCCTTTCACCACAGAACAGGGACACATGCAGAGAGAGAGAGAGGGGGGGGGGGGGGATTTGGTGGTGGGACGTGATGACCAAGCTGTCATGCGATGAGGAGGATTGTAGCAGCTGAAGAGGCGGACGAGGGGCAGGTGGTGGAGGAGGGTGTGATGCTGAGGGATCATTTTTTGTCACAGGGCTTCTTCACAGGACAAGAAGCCCTGAGGGGGGGTCACGGTTCAGGATGCTTTAGATAACATGTAGCCCTGAAACAGTTGTTCGTTCTGCCCTTTCTAGCTTTGCATGATTATTAACCTCATTTTCTTCATTCACCTTCCTGCTTCTAGTGTCAAACAAACCGACCTCTTCTCCATTCATGTCTACATTGAGTCAACAAATATGTGTGAGTCAAAACTAGAACACAGCCAGAAGCACAATCGCAGCTAACGCACATCCTGCACAGTACTCGTGCTCTGGAGATGCTGAAACATTAAAGACGCCTAGTTTCCGAAATGCGGCGGCAGCTTTTGCAGCTTAATTTGCTCATTAGATAATCTCAGCTGAAAATAGCACGTAAATGTGCGCACAGGCACAGCTGTGCACTCTGCAGCCCTCTTACATAACAAGCAAAGGGAAATCCCATATTAAAGGATGTATAGAGGGAACCGTCTGATCCGCACCTGCAAGGCTACATTATCAAAATGCCCCTGCTGCCTTCTGGGATTGAAATGAGCCACACTGTTATTGTGTGTAATTAAAGCACGTCAGCAATATTCAATTCATTGTCCTCCATCGTGATGTAACAGACCCCAAAAAGCTTCTTGGGCTCATCTGGCGCTTCCCCTCACAACCCTTTTCATGTCGTCAGTGCAATGTCTGACTGGCAGGTCTGTTTGATGTTATGTAGCGGTTCCCTTTCCTGGATGCAGATGTGTCATGTGTTGATAATCTGCATCGGCTGTAATGTTTCTAACGTATGGCGTTTTAAAGACACACCAGCAGATGGATCAAAGTGAGCGCACAACAGGCGCGTGAACTCCCAAAGTTGACAGTAACATTAATTAAGTCTTGATTTTAAACCAAGCACATGTGTGGAACATCTGCAGATGTGAATTGGATCAACTTACATTCTGGAAATGTTACTGTGGCCAAAAATAGACAAAGAAACGTGGACATTGCAGAGCGGAGGAGGAGATGATTCTTCTCATGACTGCCATTGATTACTTCTAATGACGGATCTTCTCTTTAAAAGCTTTTAAAGTTTAGTTTTTAGAATGGCTTCTTTTTCAATTGTTGTTGACGTGGTTGAAGCTGTTAACTTAAACTTTTTACTACAAAACAACAGTATTTTGTTTTGTTGGAGCAGCAGGTTTCATGTTTACATCAGATTAACGGCTTTGAATCAGAAGAAAGACAGAAAACAATAAATCAATCAATTAGCTGAGGTTGAGTTTATTGGACATTATAGACTCCATTGAGATGCAAAACTCTCTTTGATTATCAAACCGCGTGATCATTTTATAATTTGTTTTCAATTATTGGATTGTTTTATACCACAATCTGTGGTATTGTTTTTCGACATTGTAGAAACAAAATTCGTAATCTTTGTTCATTCTGGAGTCGATTGTCCCTGATGGATTACTAAACAAGCTGCACGCACGGAAGAGTTAACTTTTCTGACAATTGAGTTTCACATTTTAGAGCTTTTTAGGAGCCCTGACTGCTGCTGCAGCAAATCCATAATATCATTGCATCTCTCATTAAATATTTAAGGACATCTGAGTGAAGTCTTGATTTATTGATAAATCCAATCCCAGTAAGATTATTGAACTCATACAGGATGCTAAAGCAGATGTTGTACTCAGGGGCCGAAATCCCAAACAACACACAAGCTTATTGTTTCCTGTTACAGGCTGCAGGAACTGTGCAGGAAGCCTCTTCTGCCTTCCATCTATTGAACTACTTTGTTTTTTATTATCATTTGTTATTTGCCTTAAAACGAATGAATGAGGACTTTTTGAGTTATGCATGATACCAAATCTCTCAAAATAAATCAATGTGTGTACACTGACATTATGATTATTTGGACATTACGCAGACTCATCTAATTACTGATTGAGCGATTGTCCCGATGCATGTTTTTCTTTTAACCGCCGTTTTGTCATAGACAGAAGCTGTAAAAAAAAACACGTTATCGTCCGATTTAAATCAGTCCTTAAACACATCAAAGACACAGAAGTGGTGCTTTTTTTTTTTTTGGGGGGGGGCTCGATTTAATCAACAAACCAATCAGTTGACCAAATCGTATGTGTCAGTGGACTAGTCATTTGTCTGGGAGCCTTAAACGTTACGCTTACTAAACATCAGCATATGCATATTAGAGGAATGTGGAGCTACAGGAGCTACATGCAGACAGACATCTGCTCTGCCAGCTCATCAGCCTCAAGGTGTGGCTGCACAGACTCCGGCGGTCCACTCCTGTCATCGTCAAGGTGTCCTCAGTCTCAGCCTGTCATTAACCCCCTTTGGACTTTTACCAACTTAAACGCCCCCCCTGAAGGCAGCAGCCATTAAAAGCTGTGTGAGCTTGCTCCCCGCCTGTGCGTCATCAAGCTCGTGCAGAACCCTTTTCAACATGAAAAGAGACTCTAAGCGTGTTTTCCTGCGTTAGTAGTTTGCATGTCAATTAAATTGCTGTTGTAATCTGATAGCTGAGATGGCAGGCGGGAGATGAGCTCTGAAAGCCTTTACAGTCTGCAAGAGGAGTCAGAATCGATGCAGAGTGGAGTAAGTCTGTTTTTAATGGACGTTAGGGGGCAGAGCTCTGGCACAGATCTCATCACAGCTCTGAAGTGCTGAAGTCCGCCAACTGCTCCCAAAACCCATTAGTGGGCCAATCAAATTGTGTTTTCTCAACACTGGTGTCTTGTTCACTTTGCCCTCAGAGACGGTAAAGAAACTCCTATTACACTGTGATATCATCACGATCTCACAATATGTGTCGCATATAACGCAGCTTAATCAATATCTAATCTACGTTAAAAACTCACGCTTCAGTTTTGGACTTGTCAGTGACGGCGTGTCAGTTTCCAGTCGTTACATGCTTATGTCTTTCTAGAATGAACATCTGTCTTCCAAGGAATGTGGCTGTAGGCAAAAAACCCCACGTCGTTATGTTTAGGCAGCGGGTTGACCTTAACGTGACCCGCGAGTGTCCTAACAAAATCATAGTTGTTATGTTAACTGCTTTTGTTCAAATGCAACATCCTGTCTGTGTGCAAAGTACGAGTGCCTCCCCTGCACAGGGGAACAGTTTTCATCCATTTGAGCTCGGCCCGGCCTTCCTCCTCCTCTCCTCCGGTGGAGAAGCTAAAGTGGCCTCATATGTCACAAAGCGTCACTTCACCGCTGTCAAGAAGTTGATGTATGAGGAATGAAATGGCCAGTGCTGAAACAGCAGACACACACACATACACACACACACACACACACACACACATACAGCGCGCAGATACACGCAAAGACAAGATTGATGGATGACGCCAGTATTTGGTCCGGAGTGGAGGCTCGGTAGCAGATGAGCGGTTTTAAGTCGACTTGCAGCTGCAACAATCAAAATGTTTTTTTTTTTTATAGCGATCTTGTGGGAGAAAATCCATTCAGGAGTCAAGAGACCTGTTTCTGTAGCTGGAAATCAGAGCACAACTCTGTCAGAGCCCCTCTTCCTTACAAGTGAGCAAGCCATTGATTAAGCTAACGCTTGATTCGCTTCTATTGGAAGCCTGATTTGTGCCAGCAAGGGAAGGAAAACATGAATCATTGATTCGGTTCAGAAAGCTCATCAGCGTCGCGACTTGGCTGCAATTTCCTCCGGATTTTTGGAAGAGCCTCCTCCGATATAAATCTCACAACACCACGT